TATATATATATATATATATATATATATATATATATAGAGAGAGAGAGAGAGAGAGAGAGAGAGCGAGAGAGAGAGAGAATAGGGTTATACTAATACAATTGTAACTTTTACTAAGTATTACACATCGCTCAATAACTTTTATATTAAATGTGAATTTTGTAAATCCAACCGTTAGATTAAAAGTTCATATCACTTTATATGTTTATATCAAATTTTGTTAAAATTGAACAACAACGTAAAGGTAATCAAAATGTTCATATTTTAGTATATTTTTAAATGTATATATTACGTTAATTTTGTTTTATAAGAATGAAGTATCAAATCATCTTGGATTAATATAAAATTTTGTGTATATGTTTTAAGAGTAAAGAATTTTCAATTAAACAGTTGGATTTACAAAATTCTCATTTAATATAAAGTTATTGAGCGTTGTAATACTTTGTAAAAGTTATACCAGTGTTATTATAACCCTCCTCATATATATATAATTATATAATTTTATGGACCTTTTTTAATATATGATTGTCAATTTTCGTAAAAATTCTTACATTTTTGACAAATATAAATTTTTCAGACATATTCCATCAGTAATATAAATTTTCTTACGAATTTTTTTTCCATAAAAAATATAAATTTTTAGACGGATAAATTTTCCATAATTTAAAAAAAAAGTTAACATATATTCTTTATTTCTGCATAATTCTTTCATATAAAAATTTCATAAATAAAATTTAATATTTTGAGAGCGATCAATAATTCCTCACAAATTTTGTAGCTATTTGTGACGGAATTTGTGGCAAAATACAAATGTTGACAAAAATTTCGTCACAAAATCCGTCACTGACTTATTTATTATAATATTGTAACGCATTTTTGTGAGGGAATATTTATAGAAGAACTTAATCCGTCACAAAATCCGTAACTAATTTTATTTTTTTATTTAGTAACGAAAATTGTGACGGATTTTTTAGAGACAAAATTTAATCCGTCACAAAATCCGCCACTAAACAAAATCCTTCACTAATTTTATTTTTTTATTTAGTGACAAAAATTGTGATGGATTTTTTAGAGACAAAATTTAATCCGTCACAAAATCCATCACTAATTTCAATAAATGGCAGTCCGTCACAAAAATTAAAATTCCCTCACAAAATTCGTCACTATTAGTGACGATATTTTTTTCGTCACAAAAATTTGTCACAAAATATTAATTTTTATAGTAGTGATATGACTAAGATTGTGGATACATATTAATGATTAAGGTCATTGTTGGTGTTGCAACCCAAAAAATTTCGATCTTATGACCTATGGTTTAGACTACCATTTGAAAACCTCATCAGCCAAGGAATGCCCGAAAGCCAGACTAATCCTTAATTAATGGTTTTGAAAAATGGTTCATAGAAGTCTCCACCAATGTTTTACTCAAAACATTGGAAAAAGAAAAGGTTTTTAAAAATCTAATAATGGTCTCGATAACCAAAATTGAGTAGGGAAGGTATTAAGCACCCCTTCAACGTCCTTAATCGGTACCCTATGATCAAGTTAACGCAAAAAGAATTAATAATTTAAATATTAGATCCCCTTTTATTAATGTTTATTTACATGCATGAAATTTAAATTACTCGATTGACCCTAAGATGTCTACATGGTTGCTTTTATTATAAAAATATTTAAAATAAAAGAATTGGAAGATAGAGAAAGAGATCAATGAATAATACCTCGTAACAAGCTTTATTGATGTTCTTCAAATGTGGGGACTTTTAGGTGCCTTTTGACTACCTAACACACTACAATATACCTCACAAAATCTCAAGAAATACAGGAGGAGAAAGAAAGAGAAATTTCAAGCTATATGGAGTTTTGAACAAATTTTTCCAACCCTCGAGAGTAGTGCCTAAGTCTACTATTTATAGACATTAGACTTGACCAGAACGGCTCGTTCCAGATTTGGAACAGCCCGTTCTGGGTCATTTTAGTTATGAGTTAAATTTGAACCTGCAACGGCCCGTTCTGGTGATAGAACGACCCTTTCCAGATTTGAAGAGGTCTCATAACAAACTACACTGGAACGACCCATTTTCAACTAAGGTTTTTGGGTAGGAATGACCCATTCTAATTTTGGAACAGCCCGTTCTAGGCTACTAAACCAAGTTTGTTGGGCTTCAAGCCCCTCTTTGTGTCACAACCAAATACAATCAAAAGGAAAAAATTACAAGAATTAAAATGAGCCCAATATTAGGTACCAAAAGCCCAAAGGCCCATGAAGCCCAAAACTAGGCCCAATAAGCCTATGGCCCAAAATGCTATTCTATGTGGTCCAAAATACAAGACTAAAATATATGAAATCTATGCTAATATAATATATACAAAATAAAAGAAAATGGTTATCTCAAGGTGTGACCCATGTAAGGATCAACTTGGGCCTTCAAAGCCCATCGGGCCTGTTAGCTTTGACTAGTCCACATCTTTATGTCTAGCCCATTCCTCTTGATTCCTTCAAGATGTCACCTCTTGCTCTCCTAGGCATGATTCCATCAAATTGTCATTATCCATTTATGGACCATATATAATTCTATTCCACCTTTAGCATTAATCCTAAAGTTTGCTATCTTGTTGATGTAATTTAAATGATGTTGCCAGAAGTTATTTCCACTATTGCTGCCAGAACTATATGAATAACCGTCCAATCATAACAATGTTTCCAAACTCCATTTTCTAGTAGGCACCAAAACAAAGAATGCCCAACTGATTCTCCATTTCTCTTACGAAAGGGATAATAAGGGTCATTGTCAAAAAACATCATATTTCTTCTTCTCAAATTATCTGTAGTAGACAGTCTGCTTCTCACTTACCTCTATAGAAAAATATTAATCTTATGAGATACTCTAAAGCTCCAAATAAAAGGGGGAAAAATCTTATGTCTACCTCCAGTAAAACACCTACACAGTGTTGCGTATGCTGATCTTATGGTATATGAACATTTTTTTGTCTTCCATCCATAACCATGAAGAATCTTCTATCTATTTTCCTAACCTGACCCCCAAAATTTCTCTTTCTAAACTTTCCATCATTTGTCTTTCCCACTCTTACTATGTTCTACACCATAGAAAATGCCACCTCCACTCATCTTTCCACTCATGTTTATTGTTTTTCCATTATCTTGACAAGTGACTTAATCATTAAGTATACCTTTTATTTATTTTTCCCATTATCTTGACAAGCTGTGATGAATTATAATTTTTGTGCATTTTCTTACCTTTGTAACCTCCTATTAAATATTGTTAGTGCCTAATTGTTTGCTCTTGCCATATTTTATTGTTTTGAGATTTATTGGGCTATTAATTCGGAATTGCATTTAATTGGATTTATTAGCCTAATTAATTTCATAATCATTTGCAGAGAATTTGGAAGCACTTATTGAACTGGGAGCACTGCCACATGGACCTATTTCAACACAGTTTTAATTTTATTTTAATTTTTAATTTCGTATTTTGCTGTTATAATGGACCAACTAGGTTAGCCCAACTACTTTGACCCAAATTCATTCAAAATTCGAAGGGGGACAACTAGAGTTTTAGGTTTGGATGTGACATTCAGTAGGGACAGCTACCACCCTTGTTTTGGTTCCTAGACGAGCTATACAAAGACACCATTTTTGGTATTGTAACATTAACTTAGTTATAGCTTATTCTCTGTAGCTTTTTGTTCTTTTCTTCTTTCATTTTCTTCTTCTATTTCTTTCTCTATGGAAGGCTAAACTGCAACACTGTCTAACTCACTTTAAATGCACCATTGAGGTCTATTCATTTTAACGTATTTTTGTGTTCGAGTCCTTATTAACCTATTACAGTTTTTCTCCATGCTTAATGGTATCTTATTCAACAGGACTGAATATTCTGCTCATGGTTTGCTTAATCTCGTGAATAGAGATAAGAATGTATGTTAATGCTTCATTTATATGCATTCAACAATGGTAATACCGCTTAGTGATTACTAGAAACTAAACTAAAGTTTAAATCAGTAAAAGATAATATTTCAAACCAATGATATGTGTGTTGTAACTGAGTTGGAGAATGCACTATTCCATTGTTTATTGTTCATGCATTTATTTGTATTTGAACCAACCCCTTTTTTTGTGTTCATTTGCATCAAGAGAACATTTGCTTGGTTTGTTACTCCTTGAGAGATGACCTAGGAATGACTTCCTAGTACTACAAAAATTACTTTTCATTTGATCGAGTACAGCACCGGTCAAGCTGCATTAATGTAAGAATTGTGTAGTTGCTTAACCCAATTATTTAATCTGAGTCATATTATTTGTTGTTACCTAACTATGTTACATGATTAAAATTGATTCTTTAACACGTGAAAGTATATATGAACAAATGCCTTGATAACAGCCCTTTTAATTTCCTCCTTTGTTTCTTTTAACTCCCAATAACGGTGACTTCTAACAGCCTTCCAAAACAATCTTAAGCATAATTCTAGGGAATTTGGTGGCAGCTCCTGTGCTGAGCTCTATGGAACATATCACTCTTTGCCTGATCCGATTCATAATTCGAACAAGACATTCAAAACTTTAATAAGGAGATAAAAGGGACAAAAAACACAGCATAACATACAATAGCATTCTCTTCTGACTTTCGGTCAGATACGGAAGATTTATCCTCCATTGCATCACCAATCATAATATATTATAACTGCAGGAAAAGAATACTATCTTTGTCCTCCACTTCAACTACAACAAAAGCATGTAAGAATATGTTGGTATGCAATTGTTTCAATTCATAAAAATCACAGACATAAGAAACCCACCATATGAATCCTTCAAATGACATTCATCCACACCCAGAAATAGTCCACACTAGCAAACAAACCAACCAATGCAAAATTACTAGTATCTAGACTTCTAAACTGACAAATATCTCAATAATGTTTTTTTCAATCTGTTAGAATTAAAATGACGAAAACAACATCTAAATCTATGACTCTGTACATATTCCAACTCTCCACCATTAAGCCTACTCTAGTGGTTAAATAAAAGAATTATCTAACGTAACAAACTATCTCATGTATTAGGAGTACATCTAAAAGTATCAGGCATTTAAAAATAATATTTTCTAACGGAAAAGGATCAAATGACTACTTTTGTGAACTTTGCTACAAAGAGTCCACTAGTTTGTGATGTTGAAGGGTCAAATCGCCATGTTTTTGGTATGCGACCACCCTTGCCAGGCCAATTTCTGACAGCATCTATCTCTGTCAGCCCTGCGGATAAATAAGAATGAAAAAACATAAGGGGCAAATTCTAAAGGTCATGTATGTTATGATAACTCAATTGCAATACATTAAGCAACTATCATGTATACATGATCCAAGGAGTAACACTACGCTCACTCAATCCATTAAACAAGACTTGAGAGAGTGTATGGTTAGTAAATATGATTTTTGCATATATTTTCATGTTTCACTGATAATTACAAAAATGGAAGTATTTCAAGGCCTCGTACAAGAAATAAAAACATTTTTTCATTGTTTAACCACTTATTTCTTATAATTTATCAGTTTCACTTTTATTTCTAAATTGAATTTTAGTATCTTTTAAAAGATATTATCAATAGTTTAAAAATTTTTACCACTAAATTATTCATCATAAATAAAAAATATAATGTATATATTCAAAAATATTTATTGATTATAATTTTTAATTATAACAATTTAAATTTACAAAAATATATATTTATTATAAATTTTAATTATATAAAAATAAACAGTTATCATAATTCCTGTGAATCCACAGGTTAAAACACAAATCCTACATAAATTTTGGCGAGTTAACTGTGTCCACCAAAATAAGAAAGAAAGAGCAAGATATCGTGATTCGTGAATGAACCAGAACTTTTTCCCTCTACAAAAGAAGCAGGTTGGGGAAATGTGGTTTGAAAGGTTTCAGAATAGAGGCAATATTCATACGCATCTAAGAATGGAGAATTTCTACAAGAGAAGCACATAAATTTCAAACAATGTAGAAATGCTGATCATATTGCTGAAATGGATATGAATAGAAACAAAATGGATAACACGAAATAATAAACATGGACCAGTAGAAATAGTTGACAATACAGACATAACTTTCACACTAGAAATAAATTGAAGCAAGAAGATCCTACCAGCAGTTCTGTTTTCCTTCAAGAATTGTTCCACCACATCTTCATTCTGAGCAACAGTTAAGCTAATCCACAAGGTATTTGTCAGAATAAAATGATTAATGATATGACACCTGTATGCTGATTGCATTTAAAAGAGCCTGAGAAGTTAAAGTAAAAGGTACCTGCAAGTACTGTAGACAAGGGACCCTCCAACTTTTAGCAGTCTGAAACCATTTGTGAGGAGATTCAGCTGAAGACAGACACAAAAGGCATGTGTGTTAAACGAAGGTGATATCTAAGCCTATTAGCATGCATGCCATGAATTATGCTGAAATTGGCAATAGGAAGAATCTCCTATATGTTCAGATATCTCGCCTTATTTTTCTTTTGGATATAAATTTGGCCAAAACATTTAACTATGTGATCTTGAAACTGAAAGCATACTATCATAGTATACTATCACATTACATATTTACATTAGATGAGACTTGTCATTTAAAATCCACACTCCTATTATCATGCTTTGATGGACAGATGCTAATATAGTCCTGTCCGTGCGGTGTTTCTAGCGTAATGTTCTAAGATCGTAATGGTAACTTTGAAATGAAGGCTTTCCGCCTATTCTATTAGTGATCACAAGTAAATATTCCTTGTTATCACTAATTCTCAAATCTCAATTATTTTTTTATGAGGTCGAAAGGTAACATTGCAGGAAGTTGGCTAGTTTCATAGTCTTAATCACCCTCTTCACAAATTAGTAACATAACCACAATTAAACTTTGTGCAATTTCCAAAGAGTGCCTCAATTCCCCATTGGTATTACACGATTATGTCATTACCCCTTAGACAACTTTCTATCCAAAAGGAAAACAATGTTTAGTGTTTAACACTGACACAATCAATAATCCTGCACTATCTCATAAATAGCCAATTTGTACTAATCCTTAGAAGGGATTTTGTCTCAGAATATCTGTGCGAGAAAAAGAAATGATGATTATTCCAGTAAAGTGTTGTATGGTAAAGAATATGCATTAATGGCTCAAGAATAATGGGTCATTTGCCTGAAGAGTATGCAAGTCATCAGTCCTCTCAGCATCTAGTACACGTTGTTGAAGAGTTCTCCAGCCCCAATGTTCAAACTTTTGAATATGTTTAACTGAACCATCATGAGTGCACTCTGCATCTACAAGTACCTGCATCCAGTCCCAACAGATAATCAAATATTCAGGGTAGAAGAATGCAAAGAATCATACAAGATAAATTCAAAAGAAAGTATAAGTTACCTTGTCATAACCATGGTTTGCAATCTCATTGTCGGATAAAGTCTGAAATAATTCTCCTTTAGTAAGACCAACCACTCCAGACTGTTGTCCATAATATATGAGTTCCGGAGGCTGAAACCTAGACACCAATTGTGCTGTACCACTTTTATTTGCCCTTTTTCTCTCTTTCCATGGTCTTCTAGATGTCCACCCCTTGAACACATCAACTCTTCCTTCCAATCCAGACACACCTGTTTGATACTTGATAGAAAGAAAAACTTTCAAAAGCAGGGGATATTGATTAAAAAATATAACATTAAATTTGCAGTATCACACTCCAAAATGGATCATTATAACAACTTAAACTTCAATTACATGATTCACATTCAGAACGAAATCTGCTAGGAATGACTGAAAATGCTGTTCCATCAGCAACAAAAAGCCGGCATCGATCACCAATCATATACTTTTGCAGCATCGTCCTACATGCTGCCAAACGGTGCCTTGCAACATCTACTCCTGTTACAGAGCCTGAATCACCAAGAAGGTCCAGTATCATACAAAGTTTAGCACCTGAAAAAAAAAATGATTTCAATACCATTATAATCAACATCCATCCGTTACTCTAGAAAAATATATGTAAAATTTTCATTGAAACAGCCATTTATACATTTTCCCCTACAATAAAGCAATCTTAATCTCAGAATCTCAAAATCATTTATTTTTCAACAATGGGAGGATAGAGAACAAAGTAAATTCCACAAACACGTCCTGAAGTTTCATGAAATTACATAAACAATCCCTACTTTTTCTACCCCTATAATATCACCCTTAATTGTTTGAAAAACACTACACTAAGACCCTCTTAAACATTACATTACATGAAACGTTTGGTTAATCATCCAAAAAAAAAAACATTCTTAGGAAACATAGTTTTTCAATAATGTTTTATATACAAGTTCCCCACCAAATTGTTCTTATGGGGGAAGGTGAAAATCTAACATTCTTGAATTTAAAAGACTATTTTACTGCAGTAAAAATATTATTAGTAAAAAAAATTATTCCCAAAATAACATTTATAAACAGTCTAAAAAAACATTTATGACCAACCAAACAAATTTATAATTCTTAAGAATCATGATTTTTAAGATTTATAATTTCCGGGCATGAAAAAATTTCCCTTCTACAAACACTCCCTAACTTTCTTAATTATTTGAAAAACATTACACCTGATCCTGTGAGAGAGGTTACAGTAAACAATACAAAAAGCAAGGAATGTCATCGCAATTTCATGAAACTTGGAAGTGTCAGTGTAATTTCCTCTAAAGAGAATATGAGCATAAGTGGGGTAAAGAAAGAAACATCTACCAGGTGCAGCACACAGGTCGAGGACATGATCCCCGGATGATATATTTAAAGCCATAACAGCAGCTCCAGAAGCTGCATCAATTCCATATATCTGACACAAAATAAATTAAAATAAAAAAAATCCATCAATAGCTAGGGTTTAAATAAAACGAAATTCATACACTTTGGTTCTCCAAATTCACAATTTGACATTAAAATTTTGTGCAACCAAATGATTCAGTTACCTTGCCTTCTTTGTATGCCCTGGAGGCAGCAATTTGAACGTGGGGTGGAAGAGAGTAAAAGGCCGGTAACCATTGTAATCTTTGGAGTTTGCATTTGAGCTGTGTTTCGACCTCTTTGATGCAAGCGTCGCAACCGGGTTTCAACCTTTGAAAAGGGAGTAGAAGATTAAGGGCGTGAATGAAGGGAAGGTGGTGAAGGGTGAAAAGTGGAATTTACCTAATGAATCGCGGAGTGGAATCGACTGCAGTGTAAATGGAAGGGTCCAGGCCATTGGCCTCAAGGAAGTGGAGGAATGCGTCTGGCAGTGGCACCTTTGCAGCGGCTTCTTCTTCTTCTTCCATCAAAATCGAAAACCTCAAGTCGGGTTCTGGTGGACACACCGATTGGGCAAATGGGCAATAAAGTATGGTTTGGGTTAATTACATGAAGGGACGAGTTAAATTAACAAAATGAGCATTATTGGGTTAATTGCAGGGTTTAACCTTTTTTTTTTTTTTTTAAATAAAAAATGTATGTTTTTAACATTTTCATTGGGAAAACTATCCACAATTCACAGTTTAATTTATCTCATAGAACTTGATTGATGATCTTTAATAGAATCTCTTTTCTTAATTATAATTTTTTATACACAAAATTTTATTTTAAAAAAATTAAGTCTAATATCATTCAAACTAACAATTTATTAATTTATGATTTGTCTCAATTTAAAATTTTATTTATTTGAATTATGTGATGAGATGAAATTTAACATGTGATTTTTTTAAATAATTAATTATTAGAAATTTAATATCTATAATTTATATATTAAAGACTTATTATATATAATTAAAATATATAATAAAATATATTTATAAATAAATATTATATTTTAAATTTATGATATATAATTTATATTATGAAATAGAATTATTTTTATTATTGATAAATTATTTTAAAAATTTTAAAATTCAATTTATAAATGAACATGATAAATAAAATTTGAAATAGATAAAAAAAAAAATTGAAAAATTTTCTTATGGAAGAAAAACGTTAGAAATGTTTTCATTATAGAAAAATCCTTATTAATCTTCGTATTTAATATATAAAGATAAAATAAAAAAAATTGTTTTATTAACTTAAGTTAATTTATAATTAATTAAAAATTTTCAAAATAATATAATTTGTTTTATAATAAAAAAAAAGTAAAGTAGTAACAAGGTAACCTGCTACTTGAGTGAAAATTTTTTGACTTAAAATCTCAAACTCTTACTTTACCATCAAAAAAACGCTTAGTTAGTATTTCGTTAAAGATAAAACTTTTGAAGGGTTTTAGATGTTAAAAAAAAAACATGTATTTTGAAAGAAATCTTAGACCACACTTCTTATATTAGATATAAATCTATCGGGATAAAAGGGAGTGAAAATGTCTTGTTATGTGTATGTTGGAATTGTGGATAATGTTGATTCTTAAGGCTCTTATATTTTTCTATTATATATAATTGAAGAAGTTATGAACATTCTAAATAATGGGGATAACATGATCTATATGTTTAATTATATGATTTTATGTATTGATTAATTAATTGAGTTAGAATTAGAGTTCATAACTTGTATGTGTTCTTAGGATTCTTAAGTGTTAATTTGGTACTCTTTGTGAAATTGGAAAAATGGAATGTGTATTTTGATTTATCTATATTGAGATGTTGAAATTAATTAGGTTAGGCTTTTAATTTGAGGTAATTTGCAATGTTAAAATAAGATTTGAAGAAAAGAATTATTGCCTGGCGAAATCACACATTTTAGAGTTTTGTTTTTGATAGCACGACTATGTTTCAGGAAAACATGCTCGTGCTGAAATTGAGCGCAACAATGCTTAATTTAAGCATGTTTTTGCTGAGTGAGCACATTCATGCTCAATGAAAGCATGTTCGTGCTATTTTTGAGATACTTTAACGTGGTTGTGTGAAGTTTAACCATAGTTGTGCTCAACTTAGAAGTTGGAATAGGCATAATGGTCTTCATAAGAATTATAGTCCTACATATTAGCTAACCAATGTCGTTGGAATTACTCAAAAATGATGTTTAAAACTCAACATATGATCAAATAATGAGTAAAGGTCAAGCTTAGAGTTAGACAAAAATATCGAAGTTTTGTAATTATTAGGTACAATAGATGGTAAATACAACATTTGAGGTCAACATAGAAGATCTAAATAAGTGTCTTAAGCTTTTCAACGAAATTAGGATCAACTTGATAACATATGTGTAACTCTAAATGATGGAGTACTAGTTGGATTCAACTCCATGGATTGTTCTTCACGCCACTCCTTCTTGATTTCCTTGAGGAATCTTTAAGGATTGAGGCCAAAAGAAGGAGAAGTGTTAGAATAGCCTTGCCTAAGCTCTCTCGATAAGAGATCCAAGGCTACAAAGAAGAAATCTCAAGGAGAAGAGATGACTCCCTCACTATGGGTGACTTTTGGCCAAGAGAAATATGCTGAAGTATCTCTCATATAATGCTCAAAAGTGAAGGTTCACACATGGATTATCCTATATATAGGCCACGAAAATAGTGCTAAGGAATTAGCTAGGTGATTGAGAGTTTAAATTAACCTTGGTATGGTTAATTTAAACCCTTGGAACCTAGAATTCAAATTTGAATTTCCTAGATTCTCGGCACCAAACTTGCCACTCACTACTTCAACATGTGAGGCTTGCATTCTAATGTGATTTGGTTCACATTTGGAGAGAATTTAAGTCACACCATGTGCACCACCCACATGGTCGGTCACATGACTCTAAATGCATTCTAAATGTGTCTCAAATTCCATTAGACACGAACTCACATGAAATTATGACTAAAAGTGGCCGAAATACATGGCCTAAACACAACTTGCTCTACTTGGCCAAAATACAAGGCCCTCAAGCAAAATACAAGCCCAATTGGGCCAATCCTAGTCTACATGAGCCTTAATGAACAACCCAACTAAAAAGTGTCATGGGCCTTTCCTTGGTGTTAGCCCAATCTTCTTCTAATCTTTGGACCACAACCATAGTGATTAGGCCCTTGGCCCATGGGCCTCCATCATCCCCTCCCTCTTGAAGAGGATTTATTCTCAAATCCATGGAATCCTTCTCATGGTCATTAGTTCCTGCAAGTAAAGATATATCAAACACATTAAAACTAGAACTAACACCATAATCCTCGTGGAGTTCTAGGACATAGGCATTATTACTAATTCTTTGAAGGATTTGAAAGGGTTCATCCCCTCTAGGGCTAAGTTTGGACTTCCTTTTAGTAGGAAATCTATCATTTCTAAGGTGTAGCCAAACCCAATCCTCTTCATTGAAGATAACCTCTTTTTTTTCCTTTGTTATTGTATTGTGTATATTTCTTCGTTTGAGATTGAATATTTTCTCGAACCCTTTCATGTAATTTCTTAATAAAATTAGCCATAGATGATCCTTCTTTATGGATGAAAGAAGCAACATTAGGCAAATGAATTAAATCCAAAGGAGTAAAAGGGTTAAAGCCATATACAATTTGAAAAGGAGACATTTTGTGGTTTTATGCACTACCTATTGTAAGCAAATTCTACATGGGGTAGGTAGTCATCCCATGACTTTTTTTCCTTTTAGAATTGCCCTAAGCATACCTCCCAGAGATCTATTTACTACTTCAGTTTGTCCATCTGTTTATGGGTGACATGTAGTAGAAAATAAGAGCTTAGCTTCTAACCTATACCAAAGAGTCTTCCAAAAATGGGTTAGGAACTTAGCATCTCTATTAGAGACTATAGTCTTAGGCAACCCATGCAATCTAACTACTTCTTAGAAGAATAATTTAGTTATATTGCTTGCATCATCCACCTTGTGGCATGGAATAAAGTGTGTCATTTTACTAAAATTGTCCACTACCACAAAGATGAAACCCTTTCCACTTTGGGTCCGAGGTAATCCAAGGACAAAGTCCATGGAAATATCTATCCAAGGAGAATTGGATATTGGCAAGCAGGTGTAAAGCCCATGAGGTTTAGTTTTAGATTTAGCTTGAGACAAGCTATGCATCAAGAGCAAAACTTTCGAACATTTATTTTCATATGAGGCCAAAAGAATTTCTCTTTTAAGATTAAAAGAGTTTTCTCAATTCCAAAATGTCCCATGAGTCCACCTCATGACTCTCTTTAACCAAGAGTTTCCTACTAGATCCTTGGGGTATACACAATTTATTTTCTTTGTAAAGAAACCCCTAAAAAATATAGTTACCTTGTTAAGTTCTTTGAGTACAAAATTTGAAAAGGTGAGCAAAATCTAGGTCTTTCTCATACAAATCCTTCATGTCATCAAACCCTAGAATTTGTGATCCAAGGGTATTTAACAAAACATGTCTTCTTAACAAAGCATCGGCTACCACATTGTCATAACCTGAAAATTTCTGATCTTACGGCCAATGGTTTAGACTACCCTTTTGAAAAAATCTCATCAATCAAGGAATGCCCAAAAACCAGATTAATCCTTAGTCAATGGTTTTGAAAAAAAAATGTTCATGGAGTCATCACCAATGTTTTGTTCAAAACACTGGAAAAAGAAAAGATTTTTGAAAGTCCAATAATGGCCTTAATAACCAAAATTGGGTTCGGGGTCGGTTACGTGTAGGAAAGCTATTAAACACCTCTACAACATCCTAGATCAGTACCCTATGATGAAGCTAACATGATAAGAATTAATGGATTAAATATTAGATCCCCTTTTATGAATGGTTATTTAAATGCTTGGAATTTAAATTACACGGTTTATCTTAAGACGTCTACATGATGATTATTTATTTAGAATAACATTTATTAAAGTAAAGGAAGTACATCAAAGGCTGAGGTTTGCCATTATAAAGGAGTGAACTTGGACTGGCAACAAGACCTGGCCAGAGCACTACAATACACTGAAGATGATGCTGAAAAGTTTTATCAGAACTTCATCTATAAGTGTTATGGATGGATATTTAGGATATAACCAGATCAAGATGGCCATTGAGGATCAAGAGAAGACTTTTTTCATCACTCCTTGGGGCACCTTCTGTTACCAGGTGATGCCTTTCGGTTTGAGAAACGCAGGGGCAACCTATCAGAGAGTAATGGTAACCCTATTTAATGACATGATCCACAAGGAGGTAGAGGTGTATGTAGATGACATGATTTCTAAGTTGAAAGATGAAAATGATCATCTTATCCACCTTAGAAAACTATTCAATCGGCTCCGTAAGTACAAATTAAAGCTAAACCCTACTAAATGTACTTTCGGAGTCTGATCAGGAAAACTCCTTGGGTTGATTGTCAGTGAAAAAGGGATAGAAGTGGATCCAGACAAAGCCAAAGCCATAATGGAAATGTCGTCCCCTAGGACAAAAAAAGAGGTCAGGGGATTTCTTGGTAGGGTGAATTATATAGCTCATTTCATATGTCAGTTGACCAACACATGCGCTCCCATCTTCAAGCTACATCGAAAGAATCAACCCATGGAATGGAATGAGGAATGCCAAATCGCTTTCGATAAGATTAAGAAATGTCTTATCAATCCACCAATATTGATGCCTCCTATTGAAGGAAAACCTCTCATTCTATACCTCATGGTTTTGGAAGATTCCATGGGATGTATGCTAGGACAGTTAAATGAGACTGGTAATCAAGAAAGAGCTATCTATTACTTGAGCAAGAAGTTTACCGACTACGAAGCTCGATATTCACCCTTGGAGAAAACATGTTGCACCTTGGTGTGGGCCACCCAACGGCTAAGACAGTACATGCTGAGACATACCACCAGTTAATATCCAAAATGGATCCTATCAAGTACCTACTTGAAAAGTCTGTTTTGGTTGGGAGGATTACCAGATGGCAGGTTTTGCTATCGGAATATGATATTGTATATGTCTCGCAAAAGGCAATCAAAGGTAGTGTCCTGGCCGACCACTTAGCAAGCGGGCCAACCAAGGATGAACACATGGTCAAGGAGGAATTCCCCGATGAAGAAATATTGACCTTGAAGGATGAGCTAGAAAAGAAAAGTCAAAATGAATCTTGGTCGATGTTCTTCGACGGGGCCTCCAATATAATGGGGCATGGAATAGGAGCCATACTAATGTCGTCCCAAGGAAAACATATCCCGATGATGGCACGGTTGGACTTTGAATGCACCAACAACATGACTGAATACGAAGCTTGTATATTGGGTCTACAAGCTGTGCTTGATAACAAAGTCACCAAACTAGAAGTCTACGACGACTTGGCTTTGGTGATATACCAACTATGGGATGAATGGAAAATAAAGGACCACAAATTAATCCCCTATTGAGCATATGTTCAGGATTTGATGTCCCAATTTGAATCCATTAACTTCGAGCATACCCCGAGAGAGGGGAATCAATTAGCAGATGCTCTGGCCACATTGTCGTCCATGTTTGCTATAAAAAAGGGATGTGAAATACTGGTCATCAGAATTAGATGACATGAGACACAAGAGCACTGTTGTACACTGGAGGAAAATGAGGATGGTCACCCTTGGTATTTTGACATCCATCATTACATCAAAGAAGGGAAATACCCAGCCGGGGCATCTAACAACGACAAGAAAAAAATCTGACGGAAGGCTATCAAATTCATACTACATGAGAACATTCTATACAAGAAAAGTTTTGATTTTGTCCTGTTAAGATGTATTGGTCAGAAGGAGTCTTGATCGTTAATGAAGGAAGTCCACGAAGGAACCTTCGGTACCCATATAGCCGAACAGGTCATGGCCAAAAAGATCATGAGGGCAGGATACTTTTGGTCCATTATGGAGAAGGATTGCATCTCGTATGCCAAGAAGTGCTGCAAATGCCAGATATATGCTGATAATATCCAAATTTCGCCAAGTGAGCTCAATGTAATGGCCTAGCCCTGGCCTTTCTCGATGTGGGGCATGGACGTCATTGGACCCATTGAACCCAAAGCCTCAAATGGACATAGATTCATTCTTGTGGCCGTTGATTACTTTACCAAATGGGTTGAAGCCATGTCATATGCACATGTAACCCGTAAAGTAGTAGTCAATTTTGTCAAGAAAAACATAATATGTTATGGAATACCTGACAAAATTATAATGGACAATGGGTCTAACCTCAACAACAAAATGATGACTAAATTATGTGACTCTTTCAAGATTCAACATCATAACTCCTCCCATTATAGGCCAAAAATGAATGGGGCAGTTGAGGTAGCCAACAAGAATATCAAGAAGATCGTTCAGAAAATGGTCGTCACGTATAAAGATTGGCATGAGATGTTACCTTACGCATTGCATGGGTACAGAAAATTCGTTCGCACATCAACTGGTGCCACACCTTTCTCCCTAGTATGCGGGATGGAGGCAGTCCTACCTGTTGAAGTGGAAATTCCTTCTTTGAAATTACTCATGGAGGCAAAGCTCCCAGAAACTGAATGGATTCGAACCAGATTCGACCAATTAAATCTAATAGAAAAGAAAAGGTTAGACGCCATTTGTCAAGGGCAAACATATCAAAGGAGAATCAAGAGAGCCTTTGACAAGAAAGTCCAACAACGACCATTTGAAGAGGGGGATCTAGTACTCAGGAAGCTTCTACCAACACAGAAGGATAAGATAGGGAAGTGGACACCGAACTATGAAGGCCTATACGTGGTCAAGTGAGCCTTTTCTGGAGGAGCATTGATCCTCACCAACATGGATGGTGAAGAACTCGTTTACCCATTAAATCTGACACCGTGAAGAAGTTCTATGCTTAAGCGCAAAAAAAAAAATAGAAGGCGTTAAAGCAAGACGAATGGAAGACCTAAAAACCCCATCAATCCTCTGTAGAAGTCAAGTAATTACTTGAAGCAGTGCTGATTAAACGAATAGGAGGATGCTAAGCTTCGTTTCTTAAAGCCATGATCACTCAAGCCTAGACACCGGCCAACCTCAACAAGCTTTTCTCTTTCAAACCTCTTTTTGTAACCCTCATCGAAATTTTCTAATTTGCAATAAAATACCATTATTCTCATTTCTTTTAACCTTTATCTTTAAATGACGTGTTTTGGTATTAAAAGGAAAAATCGAAACAGCCCAGTAAAAAGTAGTTAAATAAATGAGGCAATTCTATACGGTCCCCTAAAGTAAGCAAAAGTCGATGCAAAGCTTAAAAAAAAGGATTAAAGGGGTAAAGGGAAGCCACCGGATACCAATAGATTTCTAAAAAAGCTTAAACGCGTATGTATGACATACAAAAAAGCGTGCACTTAATAAATAACTTTTCACATCCAAAAGGGATTATCCAAAAGGGTAGTAGGCTATAAGCATTTTCAATCCATGCATGCATCACGAATAAAATCCCTAAAGAAAGAAATCAAGAAGGGAACCACATGCGAGGAGGCAAAATTCTCCCCTCACAACAGAGAATCGTTCATGCATCAAAAGAAACCTCTACGTCTGATGCTAAGGATGATCAACCCATTAGGGAGGCCTTAAAGAAAAGGGTTTCTCAACCTCCCTTTGCACCGCCTTAGCCCAAGCGAAAATTAATAATTAAGCTAAGTTCAAAGGTGGCCACTGAAATGGAACCATCTGCATGTGCTCTTACACATGAAGCTGAATAGGAGACAGCTGTGTCAATCGCTAAATTCATCATCCCTTCAGCTCAAACAAAAAACTTTGCGGACGTTCCTATTACTCCTGTCACTGTACATTCTTCTCTTGTAAGCAACGTCTCTCCATCTTCCTTTCCTTTGATCTCCTATAAACTTTGTCTAATTAATTTTTTTTTAACCAAACTATTATAAATCCTATCTAAAATCTCCTTATAGGTAGTTTCTGTAAATACCTTGGCTTTTAGGAAAAGGAAGACTGCTATCAAGGATGATCGCATGATCTTGCCTCCGAGGCCTCCTTCCTTTCCATCATTTTTTCTTAAGGAACCAACAAACTCGCTAATTCCAGAAGGGATGGACCCAAGGACGGACATATACTCCATCATTTTCCCTAGAACAGCTAACCCAGATGGAAAAGTAGAATTACTTTAGCCTAGCCATCTTACAACTAATAAATATATTATGAAAAGAAATAAGATTGGTCTGCATTCAAAGCCACGCCCGTACATCATCAACAGGACAATTAGTGTGCTCTATGGATGTTACCCCATCAACTGGGCTGGGCTATGTTTTATAGAAGCCCAACATACACGCCTTGGGGTACTGTAGACTAGTATACTCTTGCCTTGAAGAAGGCTCAATCATACTGGACGCTGAAGGAAATCCTTTACATAATTCGCAGGGGAACACCAACAAGTATCAAGCCATTCTTCCAAACAGGCCTACATTCGGACCAGAGTACTATTATCTGTGTCAACCTCATCCCTAGCTCCATTCTCCATTCTCACTCGTCCACCAGCCTTTGGACACAAGCAAAAATCACCACCATCTTCTCCACAACAAGCAGAAACACCTAGACATCCTTCATCTACGTATTTTCTGCTAAAGCACTTTCCTAAACATGCCAAAATGCTCTACCTATGTCGGTATATGAATATGAGGAAGGAGTGTATGAGTGCACACCATACTGCCCAGACGTACCATTCTCTCCGTATAAGGCCTATCTAGCCCTTCCACCTAGTGCCATAACTGCACTTCCTCAACCAACCTTCAAGAGGAAGATCTATCCAGGAGGGGTGATCAAGTCCAAGTTCGCATGGACTCCACCACAAGGAACTCCTCAACTCATTCGTCCTCTCCATCAACAACCCTCATCCTTTTCACCACCCAAAAAGAAAACCTCATCCCCTAGCAGACCAAGTAAGCCTCTATCCCCTCTACCAAAGGTAGAGTTATTCAATTCTCCAACCAAATTCCTTCATGTACATATTGGTCATTATCGCTCCCTCTCTGTGTCTGATTTTGTTGCATTTGGCCATCTGCGCCTATGTATAGATACACCTCTGCAACTGTATATACCTCCCTCTCTATTCACCCCTGTAGAAGCACAAATTTATGTTTATCCTGACCGCATTTTCCCTTGGCTTCATCCAATTGGTCAAGATAAGATGAAAGAACATGCACTACATCTGGGACTGATGCACAAGCCATCAAAGGCTGAGGTTTGCCATTATAAAGGAGTGAACTTGGACTGGCAACAAGACCTGGCCAGAGCACTACAATACACTGAAGATGATGCTGAAAAGTTTTATCAGAACTTCATCTATAAGTGTAATTAGGAAGCAAGTTCGTCTGGTCTCTTAGACGAAGAAAAGGTTAGCTTTATTTCCGACCCGGGCAATTTTAGGGGTCTACAAGGGAGAGAGAATAATATTAACTGAAATACCTCTTAATTGAGCTCTATTAGATCTTTAAATTTTGGGATCTCTAGGCATTTTTTGGCTGCCTTTCACACTACAATGTGTCTCACAAAATCTCAAGAAATAAAGGAGGGAGGAGAGAGAGAAATTTCGAATTATATGAGACTTTCTAGATGAATTTTTCCGGCCCCGGGAGCAGTGCCCGAGTCTACTATTTGAGGTTAGCGAAAAAACACATAGAAGGGGGGTTGAATGTGTGTGAACAAAGGAATTTTAAAACCATTTTTCACAAGGAGACTCTTTTTCGTCTAATAAAAATATTATTTTAAACACTTAAAAACTGTGCAAGGTTAGCTCAACAAAAGATTTTGCGTCTGAGAGTTTATGGTTTGCACAAGAAAAATGTTCCTTAAAGTAATAAGTTAAGCAAGTGTATTTTCTGTCTAAAGATAGTTGCAATGAAAAATAAGTAGTGGACGAAATTTCTAGTATGATATATCAGCTAAACAAAATTGCATCTGAGAAATAAATAAAAAGTGCAAAGATTTTTATACTGGTTCGCTCGACCTGAGCTACGTTCAGTCTCCTTCAACCGAAGGGTTCCACTAATCATAACGGATTACAAGTATTATCAACCACTTCTGGTTCGCCAACTTCACTCGTCAGCACTAGTATTCTTAAATCACTTCTAGTTTCCCAAGTATTATCAACCACTCCTGGTTCGCCAAATTCACTCGTCAGCGCCAGTATTCTTAAACCACTTTTGGTTCCCCAAGTATTCTTTCAACTAGCCTCTTCAGGCTTTACAGTAGATAGATGTTTTGAGTGTGTGCCTAACTCTCATAGAGAGGATAGGATGGTTTCTACACTCGCTAAAGGATGCAACCTTAGTTTTACAGAGATATGGGTTTTGAGTGGGTGTATTACTCTCACAGAGAGGATAGGATAGTCTCAACCCTCACTAAGATAAGATATCTTAGATTTACACAGATATATAAGACTGTATAGG